TCCTTTTCTTGGCTATGTGCATAGAAAATATCTTCTCCCACCAGCTTATCACTCATCTTCTCACACTATTATGTCTTTAGTTACAACAAAGTTTTAAATTTTAATACAGGTGACTTTATCAATCCTTAATGGTTTATACTTTTTTGGTGTGTCTTAAAAAGAATCCTTTGTTGTATTTAGAATATAAATATATTCTATATTTCTTCTAAAAAGAGAGAAACTGGCAGTTATTTTTAGTTATGATATGAGGTAGAAATCTAATTTCATTTTCATTATATATATATATATATATATATATACACACACACACACACACAAAACCAATCTCTTTTCCATTTACCCACACTGGTTTGTAAATAACCTGCTGTCATAAATCATATTTTCATGTATGCATGTGTCTGTTTCTTGAAGTTCTATTTCATCTCATTGGTCACTTAATTTATCCCTGTCCTAAGATAAGGTCTGATATCTGGAGGGGTGGGTTCTCTTATCATCTCAGTCTTCCTCAAAGTTTTCTCAGACATTCTTGGTGCTTTATTTTTAAGTATGTACTTTATATCAAGTTAAAAAAAGAAAACCCTTTTTTTAAAAAACTAAAAATAAAAAATCCTGTTGGGATTTTTATTAAAACTGCACTAAATTCACAGACTACTTTGGGGGAAGAACTGACTTTATAATACTGAGTTTTCTCCTCCAGAGAAGATTTGCATTTCTTTTTACAGGTACCCCACAGCACTACTAAGCTGGAACCAATTTAAAATTGCTGGCTGGAGGGGTCTGGACCATATGGCAGTGTGAAGGCTACATGAAGGCTAGCTTGTGGTTAGCAATTTACAGAGATTTTCTGACACGCCTCTACCCAATGCCACAGTCTAGATGAACAAGGTGGTTTATTTCTAGAAACCCTTTATGCTGAAACTGTAGCCCTTTGCAGAATTTATAGCCCCAGTCTTATGTAGAGTTTTCTACTAGACTCCTCACCTTGAACTGGATGTAGAATTAACTCTCCTGTCCTTTGTACTTCTCATACCTGTCAAAACAGAAACTCAAAGAGTCACAGGCATTTAGCAGATGCCTCCAGGGTAAAAGCCAGCTGAATACATGTTTACTTCTTTGCATTCTTGCTTCCACTTCATTTTTGGCCCTAGGAGTCCTTCCTTTCTTATCAGCTCAACTCTACATTAAAACAATATTAAAAAAAATTTATCCAACATTTCTGTTTGTAGCAGAAAGGTTATTCAAAGTATTTAAAATCTTTTACAACTTAATTTTTATTTGGTTGATTTACCAGTTTTTGTGCAGAACTGGATTAAAATCTCTTACTATGATTATAGCCATGTATTGGAGGAGGTCTCGCTCAGTCGTATTCGACTCCTTGCAACCCCGTGGAAGCTAGCCTACCAGGCTTTACTGTCCATGGAATTTTCCAGGCAAGAATACTGGAATGGGCTGCCATTTCCTTCTCCATAGACATGTATTAGTAATTCCTTATTATTCTGTTTTTGCTTTCTTAATTTCAAGTTGTATACTAGTTCATGATTATTATATATATGCTTGGTGGATTTTTCTTTTAATATGTAGTTGCCCTTTATCCTTATTAAAGAAAGCCATTGGTCTTCCATCTGTTCAATAGGGATAACCTACATCAATTTTCTTTTCCCATTTCTGGGTAGTTTTATTTTTGCTATCTCCATAAAGAGTATGTGTGATCTTGTTTTTTATTCAAATTGCTATCTGTCTTTTAATAAAGAAGATCAATTCATTTATATGTTAATGTAGACTATTAATATTTTGGACCTATTTCTACTTCTTGTTTTCTATTTATCTTTCCTTTCCTTTGCTTATTTATTTTTACTTTTTAAGCTTTCCTTCTGTTTACTGATCAAGTTTTTAATAGTCTCTGCCACCCCCTGCCCCAGTTTGCTGGTTTGAAAGCTATAAATGAAATTTTTATTATTTTAATTTTTTTATCATATATTTAATTATAAATTGTTCTGAAAGTGTCAGAAAATTACTTAGTATTTCTATCCTCTTCCTAAACATGATGTGAACCTTAAATGTTATACCTTCCCACTGAACAAAACTCCTCCACCCATACAAGCTATTTGTTGTCACCATCCAGAGCTACACTGTGCAATTTGGTAGCCATTAGACACATGTTGCTTTTGAGTCCTTAATATGTGGCCAGTCTGCCTTAAGATGTGCTCCAAGTTTAAAGTATACACTGGATTTTGAAGATTTAGCATGAAAAAAAAAAAGTAAGTAAAACATCTCAGTATTTTTTATACTGATTGCATGTTGAAATAATAATATTTTAGGCATACTGGAGCAAATAAATTATTAAAAATTAATTTAGTGTCTTTATGTGACTACTACACAATTTTTAATTTAACATTATAATTGTATTGGATAGTGCTAATCTAGAGTTTTCATTTTAAATTTGTTTTAAATGCACCTTCTTCCCCCTAAAATCCTGATCTATCTTCTACTGATAACAATATTTATAGTTATAATATATATTAAAATTGAAATTATTTATCCTAGAATAAAAATTTATCTGGATATGAAATGGTATAAAACATTATTTTGACTTAGTACTTATATTTAAGATATTACTCCTTTTTCTTCTAGCATCAACTACTGGTGATAATAAACCAGGTAGTTTAATTATAATACCTCAGTAGATAATCTGGCTTCTAACTTTGGTGGTAAGAGTTTCTTTACTTTTGATATCCTAGAGTTTCATCACAACCTGTCTAGATGTGAACTTATCTTTGTTTAACCCACTAAACATTACATTTTACTTTTAATTCAAGAATTCAGGTCTTTCTTCAATGCAAAAAATTCTCAGCCTTTGTGTCTTCAAAATTTAGTTCTCTTTTAATCTCTGCAACTTTTTTTTCCTGTAGTTGATATATTACATATCTCAATTAATCTCTAGGTAAAATTCTTAGTAATATTTTCCAACCCATTAATTCTCTCATCAGTGGTGTACAGGGTAATAATTATCCCATCTATTAAGTTTTTTAATATACCAACTATATTTTTAATTTATAAAAGGTCTAGTTACTTCTTTTCCATATTAACCTATTCTTGTTTCATCTCTTTTGTTTCATAATTTTGAGCTCTCTATTAATGGAAAGTATCTGTTAACTTTTTTTTCTTTTTCTGTTAACTTATTCAAGCATCCTAAAGATGCTTTAAAGTGTCTTCCAATCAATGGAATACTATGCAGCTGTTAAAAAGAGTAAAATCATCCCATGGTACAAATATGGAATGATCTCTAATAATGTCATTAAGTGAAAATGCCAAGGTAGAATGGTACCATCTATATAAAAGTATATATGTGTGTGTGTGTGTGTCTATGAGTGTATGTATATATATATTTGTACATGCATAATAAACTATCTCAGAAAAGATACCAAGAAATTGGTAATAGTGGTTGCCTCTGGGGAGAGGAACTGGGTGGCTAGGGGACAGAGGTGGGAGACAGACTTACTTTTCACTGTTTACCCTTTTGTACCTTTGAATTTTGTACCACGTGCATGTATTACCTAGTCAAAAAAAATAAATAATTTATTTTTTAAAATAAAGTCTTTGTTGGACTACTCTATAAAAGTAATTTCATCCGGAGAAAATGCCTGTTCCAGTTGCTGATTTTGTTATACTAATATTAGATTATCTTAATGAGTTTTAGAATTTTGGTTGTAGACTCCTTTTGAGTAAGAAAGATGAAAACAAAAATTTCTTTCTCTCTTCCTATTTAATGATTTTATAGTTGTCCTATTTGGATTTCTGGACCCAAATCCACTACTAGGTCTCACTGAGATCAAAGCCTCCAGTGTCATGATGCTACGGGAGCTATCACATATGTACCTTCAATCACCGACTCAGCAATGGCTTCACTCAGTTCGTGGTCATGAGGCTATTTAAATAAATCTTCATCAGCTAAAAGCTACAGCCCCAGGTAATTTAACAGTTTTTTCCTCTTTTCACCCTTCACAAGTGGGACAGACATTCCAACTAAATCCCTGGCTTTGCGTAATGATTCTGGCTCTGGTTCCTGACTCACATGAAATACTTTAGCATTTTTGATTCCTCACAGGAGCTAAACTATTACATGTCAGTGCCAGCCTGAAAACCCAGCGGGCTTGTGTCTTCCACTCTGTAACAGCTTTTTGTGTGTGTTCCAGTCTGGCCATACGGCCATACGGCCATACGGCCACAAAGATGTTTATGCTGTTTCAGAGCCTAGCTGTATCTTTTGTGCTATTTAATCTACTGTTGTATATGTTTGGAGCATTTCTTCTTTTTGATGATTAAAAGTAATCATTATGAAAGTCATATAATCTCATTATATAAAGTTTTGAAAACAGAAAATTACTCATAATCCATTCATTCTAACACATCCACTGTAAGCATTTTAAAATACTTTCTCTAATCTTTTTCTTCTGCATCATGTCGTATCTATAGTTTTTATGATTTTAACCTGTACTATTTCAAGCATTTGTCCATGGTGATATGCAGCATCTGTAATCATCATTTTAATGACTGTGTATTAGTCCACCAAATTATACAACTGTTATTTCCCACATTATTGAGAATTTAAGGAGCTTCAAACAATAAAGAAGTTCTCTGTGCCTATCTGTTTTTTTTCCCCTCAACAGTTTGAATCTGGGGGCTGGTGGTGAGAGAGGCTAAGCAATGGCACTGCCCCAAAGCATTACAGGACTAACAAAATACATGGCTGAGGTTCATAATGATGGCCCTAATACACAAAGAGAAAAGGGAAAATCAATATGGAAGTGAAAATGCATTTCAGAAAGATCCAATCCAAAATGGTTAACAGTAACTTTTATAATTAAAATGATAAGTTGCACAGTTCACAAATGTGTACCATCTAGTACTGCTGGTCAAGGCATTATAAATTTTCACTAACTTCCAAGACAGAATATTTTGGGTCACATTAATAAAGTTTACTTTCTCACTGTAATACTAACCTTATATTATTTACACAGTCTTCATGAGCTTCAGAAAGTGTTTTTATGTGCTTTGAAGATATAGGATCAAAAAGTAGAACTTCAGTCTGTTCACAAGCAACTGTCAGCACTGACCTGGAAGCAAATGACACATTTCTCTTAGTTTATTTAGCATTCTCTTGTTTTATTGATATTCATCTATTTATGACTATATAAGATATAGATGAGTAACTTCTGTCCACATTAGTAGCAAATATTTAAAAGACTGAGACTATGCACTGTTGCAAGTAGTAGGAGGAAATAGTACTCTCATACCTTATGGTGAGGTATAAGCTGGGTGCAGCTTGTATGGGTAGTACCAGTATCTAGCAAAATTTTAAACGTGCATATCTTTTATCTCAGCAAATTCAATCTAGAGAAATAATAACTTCCAAATACAAAGAAGCACATATAAAGATATGCTTCATTGTAGGGAGAAATTGGAAGTAACCTAAATGTACATGAAAGAAAGATCGACTATATAAGCCATAGTATGGAATACTTTGCAAAATGGTGCAACACTTAAAATGGGATAACTTTATATGCATATGAAGGAGCCTAAAACATATTCTTACAAGAGAAAAGCTGGCTTCAGAAAGACATGCTTAAATGAGGCAACTTAGGAAAAGATCATATAAATTAGGCAATTCTTCATCAGCATCAATTAAAATGCATTGAAAGGTCTAGCACATATCCTACCAAACCAGTTTTAGTGAAACTAAACCTTCTCCTTTACGGATTTTAGTATTGTTTCCTGTTTCAGCCCTTTCCTATTACCAAATTACATTTTTAAAACTTTTTTATTGAAGGATAATTGCTTTACAGAATTGTGTTGTTTTCTGTCAAACCGCAACATGAATCAGCTATAAGTATACCTATATCCACTCCCTTTTGAAATTCCCTCCCATCTCCCTCCCCATCCCACCATCTAGGTTGATACAGAGCCCATGTTGGAGTTTACTGAGCCATACAGCAAATTCCCGTTGGCTGTCTGTTTTACATGTGGTAATGTGAAGTTTCCATGTTACTCTTCCCATTCATCTCACCCTCTCCTCCCCTCTCCCCACGTCCATAAGTCTATTCTCTGTGTCTGTTTCTCCACTGCTGCCCTATAAATAAATTCTTCAGTACCATTTTTCTAGATTCTGTATTTGAGTTAAAATACGATATTTATCTTTCTCTTTCTGACTCACCTCACTCTATATAATAGGTTCTAGGTTAATCCACCTCATCAGAACTGACTCAAATGCATTCCTTCTTATGGCTGAGTAATACTCTATTGCGTACATTACCACAACTTCTTTATCCATTCATCTGTCGATGGACATCTAGGTTGCTTCCCTGTTCTAGATATTGTAAATAGTGCTGCAATAAACAATGGGATACATGTGTCTTTTTCAACCCTAGTTTCCTCAGGGTATATGCCTAGGAGTGGGATTGCTGGGTCATATGGTGGTTTTATTCCTAGTTTTTTAAGGAATCTCCATTCCATTTTCCATAGTGACTGTATCAATTTACATTCCCACCGAAAGTGTAAGAGTGTTCCCTTTTCTCCACACCCTCTCCAGCATTTACTGTTTGTAGACTTTTTGGTAATGGCCCTTCTGACCAGTGGGAGGTGGTATCTCATTGTGGTTTTGATTTGCATTTCTCTAATAATGAGCGATGTTGAGCATCATCTTTCCACATGTTTATTAGCCAAGTGTATGTCTTCTTTGGAGAAGTGTCTGTTTAGGTCTTTTCCCCACTTTTTGGATTGTTTGTTTTTTCACCATTGAGTTGTATGAGCTGCTTGTATATTTTGGAAATTAATCCTTTGTCAGTTGTTTCATTTCCTATTACTTTCTCCCATTCCGATGGTTGTCTTATCACCTTGCTTATAGTTTCCTTTGCTGTGCAAAAGTTTTTAAGTTTAATCTGGTCCCACTTGCTTACTTTTGTTTTTATTTCCATTACTCTAGGAGGTGGATCATAGAGGATCTCGCTTTGATTTATGTCATTGACTGTTCTGCCCATGTTTTCCTCGAAGAGTTTTATAGTTTCTAGTCTTACATTTAGGTCTTTAATCCATTTTGAGTTTATCTTTGTGTATGGTGTTAGGAAGTGTTCTAAATTCATACTTTTACATGTAGCTGCCTGGTTTTCCCAGCACCATTTATTGAAGAGGCTGTCTTTGCCCCATTTTATATTCTTACCTCCTTTGTCTAAAATAAGGTACCCATAGGTGCATGGGTTTATTTCTGGGCTTTCTATCTTGTTCCATTGGTCTATATTTCTGTTTCTGTGCCAGTACCATACTGTCTTGATGACTGTAGCTTTGTAGTATAACCTGAAGTCAGGAAGGTTGATTCCTCCAGCTCCATTCTTCTCTCTCAAGACTGCTTTGGCTATTCAGGGTCTTTTGTGTTTCCATATGAATTGTTAAATATTTTGTTCTAGTTCTGTGAAAAATGCCATTGGTAATTTGATAGGGATTGCATTGAATCTGTAGATTGCATTCTGTGGTATAATCATTTTCACAATATTGATTCTTCCTACCCAGTAACATGGAATATCTCTCCATCTGTTTCTGTCATCTTTGATTTCTTTCATCAGTGTCTTGTAATTTTCTGTGTACAGTTCTTTGGTCTCCTTCAGTTCAGTTCAGTTCAGTCACTCAGTCGTGTCTGACTCTTTGAGACCCTGACTCTCTGTGACCCCATGAATCGCAGCACACCAGGCCTCCCTGTCCATCACCAACTCCCAGAGTTTACTCAAACTCATGCCCATCGAGTCAGTGATGCCATCCAGCCATCTCATCCTCTGGCATCCCCTTCTCCTCCCACCCCCAATCCCTCCCAGCATCAGGGTCTTTTCCAATGAGTCAACTCTTCGCATGAGGTGGCCAAAGTATTGGAGTTTCAGCTTCAGCATCAGTCCTTCCAATGAACACCCAGGACTGATCTCCTTTAGGATGGACTGGTTGGATCTCCTTGCAGTCCAAGGGACTCTCAAGAGTCTTCTCCAACA